TCACAGTAGGTTTCTGGCCCCTTTGAGCGTCTAATGCCCAGCTCATCTGACCGCAGATGGAGCTCAGGTGGTAATTTGAGCAATAAGCAATGGCTATAAATATAGATGAAGCTTTGCTGGTTCTCCCACTGCTGCTCACCTCTTGCTGTGTTGCCAGATTCTAGTCCATTGCTGGAAGTTGGGGGCCCCTGTTGCTATGGCTTATATCTAGATGTCCCCTAGAGCCTCCTTGGTCATAGGCAGGGCTTTTGGAAGGTGATTGTATTATGGTAGGTTATAGCTGACTGCCTGTTAGAGTTTGGGGGTCTCACTGGAAAAGACCATTAAAGGAGGGCATGGACTGGGAGGGTTTATCTCCCTTCCTGTCGCCCTTGACTCTCTCTGGTTCCTGTCTGCCACACTTTGAGCAGCTCTCTTCAGCCACGCTTCTCTGCTTAGAGTCTCATGCTTCTCCTATCTTAGTTAGAGTCCAGTGTCTAGAGACCAAAATATGGGCCAAAATAAACCTCTCCCTCCTTGAGTTGTGAGTGTTGGGTATTTTGTTCCAGCAACAAGGAAAACAACTAAGATACCTGAAGCTGGTGAAAACTTTGGATGTATCCAGTAGTGAGTATATTTTAAAGCACAGAGGACTTTGGGCCCAGGGTCTCAAGGAAGGAATGAATAAGTCCACCCAGAGGAGTAAAGATGTGGAGATGTGGCCAGAAAAGGCTTCAACAGGAAGATGACCAAAAGATGGAGACTTAAAAGAAGAACGGGTATTAATCAGGCAAATGTGCAGTGGAGAGCATGAGGATGGGATATTCTACGGAGAAAGAAAGAACTGCTCTAGGCAAAGAGTTAGAGGCCTGAGACTGTTGAGTAAACTGAGTGCTTTGGAGTTGGCTGCAGAGCAGGATGTGAATAGGACGTGATGAGATGAGGCTGGAAAAATGAGCAAGAAGCAGAACAAGAAGTTCTCCTGATCCGGGGTGGGGGACTGAACTTAATCCCAAGGGATTCAATTAAGGAGGAGACGGTGGTCAGAATTGCACTTTAGGAAGCTCCTGCTGAAGTGTTGAGTATGTGTTGAAGGAAGGAAGACATCGAAGCAGAAACCACGTGGGAGGCAAAAACTGGTGGTGACCTGCTTTGGTCAATCTTTAGCCACAGAAGACACCAAAACTGCTTGTCTAGTTTGGAAAAGCTTATGTTGTAGCAATTTTCATTATAAAAAAGTGTGTCCCTCAGTTATCGATTCACATCAACGCTTCTGGATCTGGACCCATTCCACTCTCATCTGGTCTGAGAAGAAACCACAGTATTCTCATCTCTCTCTGTATTATGGAATTCCCTGTCCTGCCTTCTGCAGGAATGTGTTTTCCCACAGTGGGCTCTCCCTGCCACCAGCACATCGTGACAAACCCTCACACCTTCAAACCCTCTGCTTCTAACTATAAATGACTCCATGCTATGTGACTTCTCCTTTTCATTCAAAATTAGGTACAGATTCACTGATCATCCACTGCATGCCAAGCATTGCTAGGATCTGCAGATGTGGCTTCTGCCTTCACCTCCACTGGGCCCTATGGTTCAAGTCCAAACTTAGCTCAGAAGTTAGAAATTTATGTGAATGCCACAGCTTCATACTCTCCTCTCCCGCCAATACTCTGTACTTGTCAGGGAGACACCTATTATTTCTTAAATATTCTGTATCCAAAAACAGAAATAACTGCTTAGCTGGGGATGGTGATGCATGCCTATAATCCCAGCACTCTGGGAGTCTGAGGCAAGGGGATTGCTAAATTTGAACCCAGCCTGAGCAACTTAGTGAAACTCTGTCTTTGCTTAGTGAAAAATCCTGTGTTCAATCCCCGGTGTCAAAAGAAAAAAATAGAAATATTTTTTCATTAAAATGTTACAACTAATTTGACCAATATCAAAGGTAGAAATTAGGAAGTAAAATTTCTCCTCCATCCCCTCCCTCCCACTACCCTGCAAAACCTTTCCCCAGAGATAAACACTGTTAACATTTGGGTAAACCTTCTTTCAGATTTTGTAAAACCTTTCTCTGCCTTTGCATAGCTCCTTTTAGAACCTCTTACTTGTCCTTCAAGACTCGTTTTGATGCCAGATTTCCTGCTTTGTGAAATTCACTGTGATCCCGCAGAGGCTGTGCTGTGGTTTGGAGGTAAAATGTTGGAGGCTTGGTCCCCAGTGCAGCAGTGTTCAGAGGTGAGTGGCTCCTGAGGGCTCTGACCTCACCAATGGATTAATTTACTGATGGTTTTACAACTGAATGGACTTTTAGAAGGTGCTAGAAACCATAGGAGATGGCTCCTAGTTGGAAACAGGTCACTAGAGGTATGCCCTGAAAAAGGATATCATGTTCCTCAACCCCTTTTCTTTCTGTATGCTTCCTGCATGTCATAGGGCAAGCAGCTTTCCTATACCACCCCCTTCTACCATGATGCTTCTGCCTTGCCACAGGCCTAAAGCAGTGCATGCAACCATGGACTGAAACCTTGGAAAACATGAACCATTGTAGACCCTTAAGTTATTTTTCTCAAGTGTTGTTATGACTTGTATCTAGATGCCCCCCCACACCACCAAAGCCTCATAGGTGGAGCTTTTCAGAGGTGGCTGGATCTAGGATGTGTAATCCTTGGGTTAAGGATGTGATACTGGAATTAAGAGCACCCACCCTGGATTTGAGTTAGGCAAGTAGCCTGGAGGAATATAAGGGACAGAAAGAAAGCTTGCTGTTGCCTTCTGCCTACCTTGCCTGGGCTCTATCTCCTCTGTGATGGCCCTCTGCCACGCTAGTCTGCTTTGGAGCCAGCCAGTTATAGACTGAAACCTCTACAGATTGTGAGTCAAAATAAACCTTTCCTCGTTGGACCTTAGTTGTCAGATATTTTGTCCCAGCAACAAGAAAAGTAGCCTAACATAGATATTTTATCACAGCGATGAGAAGCTGACTGACACATTTCGGATGCTTACATCTAACATAGGACTTGCCATCATGTATTGAAATTACCTATTTACGTGCTGCACCTCCATCAGATTCTATGTGAGACTGTAATCTGAGAAGATAATCTGTGCAAGAACAGGGCTGCGACACTCTCAGTTACTGCTATATTCATAGTGCCTAGCATGTAGTAGACTCTCAATAAGTATCCTGGAATACATGGATGGATGGATGGATGGATGGATGGATGGCAGACAGTAATCTGAAATGCTCGGTAGAATACACATATGGAGATAGGGTAGACCTTGATTAGTGGAAAGGATCTCAGCTTGGAGTTAAGAACCTGGACTCTTGTCCTGGGTCTGCCTTCTACTTGCCACTATATGAATTCCTCATTCTCTCAAGTCCATTTCCTTACCTGAAACTGAATAGTGGGTCTAGGTGGTTTTCCAAAACCCTCCCCTGGTAGATGTTCCAGAATGCTCAGCTGGCCTTGGCCCAGCAGCCCTATTTCACACCTCTGTAATTACCCACTGTGCCTTTTATTACAGAAGCTGGGTGGGGGTGGGGCTCATTAAATAAAGGGCAAAAGGAAATTGTGGCCTTGCCAAATGACACTGCTGGCATTAACTAGATTAACTTCTGAAATGAAAGCCCACAAAAGCAAAACCAAAACAGAAAAGGAGCCAGAGCTTCTTCCAGGGGCTTCATGCTAGCCTGCTTCAGCCTGCCTAACTTCTAAGCCAATCCATTCTCACCAGGGAGGTCCCAGAAGCTACTTGCCACTGCCTTCCCAGAACTTTGGGTAGAGATCTCAAGAAAATGGTACTGGACTTGGGAACCCTTCGTAGCATCCATAGTCTGTTAAGACACACAGGTAAGTAGATAACATGCAGAGAGATGAATGCTGGGCTGACAAAGCTGAGGGCTGAGGATCTCCAGGTTTTAGCATCCTCCAAGGCAGCAGCCCCTGAGTGATAAGCTGTTCTCCACACAGAGTTCCTAGGAAGGACATTCCAAGCAGAAGGAAAAGAAGGGGAAGGCACGGAGACATGAAATGTGCTGGCACATTCTGGCAGTTGTGGGCAACCTCATATGGCTGGAACACTATTCCACTGGAGTCTCAGGCATAGCACTGCATCAGCATGGGCAGGGAGCTAGAATGCTACAGCTCTGAACCATGCCGGATGCCAGTTTGTTTGCTAGAGCATCCATTAGGCAGCAGTTGGAGGGGATTGCTACCAGACCTATTGCTGGTGCCAGAGGAGGTCAAGACACAAAACAAGCAAAACACTGCAATGCTTGCTCAGTTCACAATGTTTACAATCATTAGAAGAGGCAAAAAGATACTGAGGGAGATGTGTCAGTCTTGCTCAAGGATTCCAGCTGCCACCAGGGGCAGATAGGAAGGGAATCCTGAGGTCTCTCATTCCGGTCTCACAGGGAGAGAACCCATTCTTTTTTTTTTTTTTTTTTCCTTTTGTACCAGGGATCAAATTTGGGACCTGGTGCTTGTGAAGCAGGCAGAATTACTGAGCTAAATCCCCGGCCCTAGAACTCATTCTTAGAAGAATCTCAGAGTGAGGGAGAAAAATTCTTCTCCCCAGATAAACCAGAAGTCTTCTGTACCTCCCTATAAAGAGTCACGTAAGGCCAGTTTGAGAAGGAAAAAACGGGAGATGAGGCATCCTATAGTTTATGTAGAGATCAGATGCTTTACATAACTTTCCTTTTATCCTCATAACACAGATAGAGGTGTTAGATTCTCCATTTGACAGCTAAGGCACAATCCCTTGTACCTAGTGATCATTAGAGCTAGATTTTGCATTAAGGTCTCCAAAGCTCTGAAACTCTACATCCTCACTCCACACATCCCTGCCATCCAGACACTGTCTTAACCCACAGGATGCAAACCATCTGGTGGTGCTACGGATCCAATCACTTTCTTGCTAAACTCTGACTAACAGTCACAGCTCCTATAATGCCTCTGAGCTGCTGTGCACCAGAGCTGTCAAATCAAGACCCCAGGAGTATTCTAAACACAACCTACCTTGCTAGCTCCTATGATCAGAGCTATTTATCACATCCTCCTTCTGAAGAGTGACAATCTAATGGCAGGACAGAAGAGATGCTTTGAGGAGGGGCAACCCTTTGAATCTCACTCATCCGTACATGAGCTATACCTAGGCCTGGGAAGCCACGAACACTCTCATGGGTCAGTCGTCGTCAGGATCACTGAGGTATTAATCATTACCAAAAGAGCAGTTAAACTGAAAACCAGTTCATTAAAGATTAAGCTTCATCTCCATAGCCCTCAGGGAAAGGGAGGTTTGGGTGGAGAGCCAGGTCTTGTACCAGGAGATCACCAGCTGTGAAAGTCTTCTCAGAGAGCCTGTGGTGATAGGTCCTTGTCCTGGCTCCACTCTCAACCTCCTGGGGACCTTGGGCAGGGCAGTTTCCCATTGTAAGCGTCCATTTCCCTTTTAGATGGGTGGAGAAACTGGCACTGGATTTGTTGCAGTGCTCCAGCACGTGTTGCCCTGAGGATGATCTGTGCACATTTGCTACTCCCCACTGAGATTTGCTAGGAATCCCCAGGTTGTCCAGCACAAGTTTCATGTTGTTCACAATGTTCAGGGCCACGGAATTTTGACAGTAAATCTCAACCCCACCCGGAGACCTGGAGTACAAGGCCTCGGATCGCTCCTCTTTCTCCCCAGTGCACAGTGTTGGAGATGACTGCATCACTGACCCCAGATCATGCCTTCTTTACCCTCTGGGAACTAGCCAAAGACAAATATGGAGCAAAAGCCACTGAGCTCATTCATACACAAGAATAAAAATTCCCCATTTGGTCAGTTCCTGGAGCTGTACCTTCCTTGGATTATCCCATCCCAATGGGACCTGTTAAACCAAAGCTTTGACAACTCAGTGGCAATTCACACATCTTGATTGATCCAATACTAAAGCAGTGATTAAATATACAATGAACCAATTAGTGAATGGACACCACATCATCTTGTACCCTAAGAAAAGCACTACAATGGTGCTCCAGTGCTGGTCCCAAACGGCACCACATGCATGCTACTTGGCAACCATAAACTTCCACTAAGTGGAATTTTTGAAGACAATAGTGGTAAACATGATAGACTTTTAAATATTAAGGAGGTAAGTTGAAGGAGATGTTTGGGATTAGTAACTGAATCTCCTTTTTCTGTTCCTCTTTATCCAACTCTTCACAGAATTATTCTAATCATTCTTTTTTAAATTAAAAATTTTATTGGTACATTTTAGAAGCACATGATGATCACCTTCATCATAGAGAATTTGTACCTGTACATGATGATATATCTTGATTCTTCCTTTTTTCCCTTTGCCCTCCTCTCGCTTCTAATCACTGTTTTGTCTGTAGGTGGCAGCACTGGCCCCTTTTACTCCCCAAGGGGATCTTGCTTTTTCATTTGAGAATATGCTCCTCAAGAGGTAATGCATTGGTAGAACAAGATAAACTACCTTCAATATACATGTCCTCACACATTCAAGATGTGACACATCTGGGGAATTCACAAAACTCCTAAAGCCTCACTCCACCTGCAAAATAGCCCTTCCAAGGATCTAGCAAAATACTATAAATCACCCAATATTTTCCAAGAAACTATTGCAAAGCGCCTATGAAACATTCAAGGTCAAGAGAACCTAGTTTGGAAACACTTGAGTGGAAAAACAGATAACTCTGAAGACAACAGACTTCTCCCGCACCCTGTTATACATCAGCCTGGTGCATCCCACGTTGGCATCTACTTTTACTGGAAACAGCCCACAATGTGTCTTTGTTAGAGCCCACTCTGTGCCAACCATGTTGCTAAGATGACTATCTGCACTGTGTGATCTACTTCTCAAGATAGTTTCTGCCCACTTTACCAAGAGGAAACAGTGAGTCTGAAAGGTCAGCTTCTCAGAATAGGCAACCATCACCTTGTATATGAGGACACTGAAGGAGTGAAGACTCTTGTTCAAGGTCACCTGGCAAGTCACTGACAGAGCATGGTTATGAGCCTGGTCTCCTGCTGGCCACTGAATGAAGTTTGCAGAAGCAGGATAACAGTGCAAGACAGGGGAGAGGAGGGCAGGAATGGGGTACTAGGTTCACATCCAATAATTCCCTTGAATAGTGTCCCCTATTGTAAGCGAGCCCTGGAGAGGGAGTCGGGAAGGCCCTGCAACTGGTGTCAGTGCTCCCTGAACAAGATGTGTGGCCTCAGGCATGTCCCTTCTGTAGCATCCTCGCCCTCCTCCAAGTGGCAAGAGTATCTAATGAGATACTGGCAGGAGAAAAGCTTTTAAAAGTATAAAAGCTCTCTTGGAAGTATTATTAATTATAATTATTATAATCTTTCATGGTTATTAATGACCTGTTATCTGCTAGGAATCTGTCATCTAGGAATTTCTTTAAGCCCTTCTTGAACCTGTTTATATTCCCAGTTAGCAGCACCTCCCTTGCTTTTCATCCCCAGCCCCCAGCCACAGAGCTGCAAGTGAACGCCTCAGCCCAAGGACCTGGGTTAGAATGTCTCCCTGTCTTTTCTGTGGGTCCATCATGGCCAAATGAACTCAGTGTCATATAGCCTCCATCCCCTCACCTCCCTCACCAGAGAATTCCAAGTCTATGTTAGGGATCTCAGGAAGAAGAAGAGGGGAGACATCGACTTTGCCTTTTCAATCCATATGCCTTAAGCCCGGAATCCCTGGGTAGAGTATAAACGTAGGATCCCTCTTAACCATTTGTACTAGGGCTTCACAAAGGTCCCAGAACCACAACCCCCAAGAAAACCCAAGGCCAGGGTCACCGCCTGTTCACCAAGACCTCTTCACACCAAGGACAAAATGCCAGAAGCCCTTTCTCAAATGCACTTCATAAGTAAAAAAACATAAACCAAATTTTGACACCTACTTTCATCTGTTCTCTGAAGATTTCAAGTTGAATTAGACATAATAATATCCTTGCCTTTAAGAAGTTCACTATCTTATAGATGAGACCAAGGCATTTTGTAAGGTAAGGTGAGCTAAAGATTTAAATAAAGGATTAGTGGAAAGCAAAAAATTAAAGAAGGGCCTAAAACTATTCAGATTTGAGACAATCTGGAAAAAATTAATGAAGAAGGGAATTTTTTTTCCTTTTTCTTTATTGGTACATTTTATGTATGCAGTACAGTTACATTCATCATTGGTATCTTGTACCTTTACATGATAGATCTTCCTTCTCATTTTTCCCCATTTCCCTACTCTCCCTTCATCCCCTCCACCCTTCCCTATTTACAGAGAAGAAGGGACTTCTAAATGAGGTACTAAATATTGCAGAAAAGCCAGGTAGGCACAGAGGTGATGATGAGCAGAGGAAAGAATTTCTGAAGCAGGGAGACAATGGCCACATAGTGACTGGAGATGAGAGATGGACCTGTCGAAGGATGGAGAGGCCCACCTGGGTCCACCAGCAGGTGAGAACTGCTAGACACTGGTCTTCCGGTCACAGAGACTCAAAGGCCCTCATTTCTGAGTCTTCAGAGAGGAGCCTTTCGGATATCTGAAGCTGGGGACCCACCAGAAACTCTCCAGCTTCCTTCAGGCAAAGCCTTTAGGTTTCAACAGAGGTTGAAAATGCAAAAGAATCTAGGCCCCAGTATTTTTCCCTCTGCACACCAGTGTTGATTGTTCAACCCTATGGGTCTCAGAACATCTCAGGTGAAAAGGGCTTCTCAGCCCTATCTCCTCTCTTTCCCTTAACTGTGTTCTCATTACAGGTGAGGAAATCATACAGGAAGAGGGGCGAGAGTAAAACGCAGGCCTCCGGCCCGCTCCACCCCTATGTTCACATAATGGAGTAAAGCCCACCTAGTTCAACTGGAGGAGAGCCCCAGACAAATTCGAAGTAATTGTAACAGTAGCAATTGCAAGCAAATTATACCCCATGAGCTAATTAGAAAGAGATTGGAGCCCTCAGCCTTAATTAATATCTAGTCCCTAACAACTTAATCTTGGGTGAAATCATAGCAGGAATCTCACTTGAATGCTGAAATTCTTTCCTCCAACAAATCCCCTATATAAATACATATATTTTAATAGCAGCAATTATAAAGTTCTCTGCCAATTTATGAAGCTGTTTAACATTCCTGGATTAAGGCCACAGGTTTTTTGTTGTTGTTGCTGTTGTTTTTTGTTTTTTTTTTTTTTTCTTTTCTTGGTCTCCTCCCTCCCCTAGCAGAGGCCTAATGAATAGTCACTCCCATGGCTCTGCATGCCACAGAACCAATATCTCTTACCCAACAGGTCTACACGGGGAGTTAATAAGCAGTCTGGTAGGACTGCCTGAGGAGGTCCACAAACCTAATCGTTAACCGTGTGGCCTAATCAGCATCTGCTTCCCACCCAGAGTCCTCTACAGCTACACAGCCTGATCCACCCAGTAATGGATGGAAAATCGGCGATTTCCTGACAGTTAGCAACCAATTTTCCACCAATTAGGAGAGAGATGGTGGTCTTGGAGGAAACAGGATGGTTCCACCGCAAGTAACTAGGATTGGAAGAGAGATAATCCTAAAAGCACCCGAGAACCAAAACCTAAAGAGCAGGGAGGGGCTCTAGGGCCCTGCCCTTCCCTACTTGCTTCTCCCTGCCTTGGCTGGTGCCCCTGGGAAGGAACATCTGGGGATGGTGACTGGGCTGGAACTCCTTAGGAGCTCTTCTCACTCAGCCACCTCAACAGACAGCAGACCCCATTCTTTTCTCCTCCCAGGCCAGCCTGACAACACTGCTTCTGCTGGCTCCCTCCACAGTGCCCAGGACAGTCAGGAAATCCCTCCAAGGCAGTTCATACAGACCTAATTAGAGCATAAACTCTGGAGCACGGTGGTTGTAACCTTTTAAAAATCCTGAATCTTTCTCTTACTTGTGGTGTGGATCTTAGGCAAAACATCCAACTTCTTTGGGCTGCAGTTTCCTCATCTGAAAAATGGGTATAAAAATCAGAAATAACCTACCTGATAGGATAGTTCTGAGAATTATGTGACATAATGTATACCACACATTGTAATGCTCAATAAACAGGCACTACTATGAGTTTCTTTAGTTTTAAAACAATTGTTATGAGTAATCAATATCAATAACAAATGTTATTGAGAATCACTACCTTTGTTCATTTCTTT